GTAAGATTTTAAAGATTATACACATGCAATATTACAAGTACGTTGTTATAACCTAATCTAGAAATACCAACTATGTGACAATTATTATCGAACTTAGAATTAAGAACATCAAATACTTGTGTGTGTATACATGCAATAATGATAGTAAGCTAAAGTTGCTATGTTTACGGCCTACCGTGACATGTGGGTCCTCTAAATTGTATAAAACCAAAATTATAATTGTGACATGTGGGTCCTCCCAGTTGCAATGTTTTCAAATATTTGTATTTTAAATAGGGTAGATTTCATTTTTAAAATAGGAGAAATTTTACTCGATCTTATATTTAAATTAGAGGGATCCTAGGAATAGGAATAGGATGACCAAGAATGCAAGTTACTATCTATAACAATAAGGTGCATCTTTGCTTGAGCATAAATTCTCATCATTTTGTTTTTTTGGACTTCCATATAAATTCATGATCATTTCTTAAATAAATTAATTAAATGACAACGCTAGATTAGGGTGGAGGGGTGGAAGAGCCATAAAGGGTTAAAAGAGATGCACCAACCATGTACTTAAGATTATTTAATTGTTTTGAAACCTTTTTATGGTTCAATAAGTACTCTAATCCATAGAGGGAAAAGACGAAAATAATGATGAAGGCAGGGGTGTATTGATGAATCCATGAGTTAATAACAATATCTATTGGATCTTAAATGTGAGCTATTGAAAATCTTTGAATTCCAACAAGAAAAAAAAAAAAGAAAAAAAGAGAGGCAATAATTCGAAATCAGATAAAAATCAATGAATGCCCATGAAACCCCCCGCTTTGAGGTTGTCCGATATGGGATCTTTCCCTGCTCTTCCTCAGTAACATTTATTGCTTCACTCATCAACCCTCCGTTTTCTCTTCATATATAATACAAATATTATATCTTTGGTTTCCTCATCTCCTCCAAAATGTTCAGCTCCCATTCAAACAACCTATCTTTTTTGTAGCTCATCTTTGAAGATGATGGGGTTCTGTTGTTATCTTTGAAGAGAGGCAAAAATCATTAAATATGCCTACAGTCTGGCTGTCCTTGAAGAAATCTCTGCACTGCAAATCAGGGCCATCCGAAGTTCATGACCCAAAAAGCAGAAGAAATCTAGGCGCCATTTTGACAAGAAAAACAGGGGGAGGAAGATCGGGTTGTTCCAGGTCCATTGCAAATCTCAAAGATGTCATCCATGGCGGCAGCAAGAGGCATTTGGATAAGCCCCCAAGTTGCAGTCCAAGATCCATTGGCAGCAGTGAGTTTCTCAACCCAATAACCCATGAAGTCATTCTCACTAACTCAAGGTGCGAGCTCAAAATCACCGGATTTCACGGCGCTTTCCCACCCGATGTGCCTGCCTCCACCGATGAACCCCTCACAGATCGTCCCGCCGCCTCCACTTTTGTGGGTACTCTGACACCGGGTACGCCGGGCCCCGGTGGCCACCCCACAATGCATTACTTCGATCCTTCCTTTAGGTCTTCTTCAAGAAAGTTCCCTTTTAGAGAGGGATTTGGAAGCTCTAATAAATCTTGCGGCGGCGGCGGTGGAGCTCGCAGCCTCGGTGGTGGAGGTGGAGGTGGAGTCCATACGTGTAACAGAATCTCATTGGAGACAGAGATTGATGGGAATAGATCTTCTTCTGCGGTCACTTGTCATAAATGTGGAGAGCAGTTCAACAAATGGGATGCTGCTGAAGCTCATCATCTTTCTAAACATGCTGGTAAAAACACTCAAATTTCTTGTTTCAATTTCTTTTCTTCTTCATTTTCCTGGAAAATTCCTGTTTGGCAACTGCGAAAGTATGTTCATCTTCTACCTAATCCAGTTCACTCTATTTCATATCTCTTGTTCATTGTAGTCCTTGTAATTTTAGTATTCTGATCCTTGTTATCTTATTATTTCATCTTGGTCTCTGTATAGAAGATTAAATATACGATTTGTTTGATTGAACTTTTAGATTTCATATGGTAATTTCATATGCGGTTTGTTCTTCCGTTTTCAGTAACTGAGCTTGTGGAAGGAGATTCATCAAGGAAAATTGTGGAGATCATATGCAGGACAAGCTGGTTAAAGTCTGAAAATCAATCTGGTAGGATTGAAAGAGTACTCAAAGTTCACAATATGCAAAGAACGCTAGCCCGGTTTGAGGAGCATCGTGAGACTGTTAAGATCAAAGCCAGCAAGCTCCCAAAGAAGCACCCTCGGTGCCTTGCCGATGGAAACGAGCTGCTGCGATTCTTCGGCACAACAGTCGCGTGCTCCCTCGGCTTGAATGGTTCCTCCAGCCTCTGCATATCGGAGAAGTGCTGCGTATGCAGGATCATACGCAACGGATTCTCGGCAAAGACAGAGATGAAAGAAGGGATAGGCGTGTTCACAACTTCGACAAGCGCAAGAGCATTCACCTCGATCGAGGCGTCGGGAGGGGGGGAGGAGGGGGGGATGGTGAGGAAGGCGATGATAGTTTGCAGAGTGATTGCAGGGAGAGTTCACAGGCCATTGGAGAACATACAAGAAATGGCTGGGCAGACAGGGTTTGATTCATTGGCAGGAAAAGTTGGGCTGCATTCAAATATAGAAGAGCTTTATTTGCTGAATCCTAGAGCTTTGCTTCCATGCTTTGTGGTAATTTGCAAAGCATGAAGGAAATTACTGTGGTGAATTTGTAATTTCTTGTTCACCTTTTGGAAGATTTTGATACTTGTTTTTGAATTATGTCTGCCAAAATATATGAAAAAGTTATGAAGCTTTTGTTGTGGCGTTTAGTTGTTTAATAGAACTGGATAACTTTTCAAATTAAGAGCATGCAGAGAGGGGAGAGGTTGGTGCACAGAGTCTTTATTGCATCATTTGGAAGCACAACACCAGCCTGCATTTCCTCTCCCAATCAGCGTAATCCAAATGACATACTTGTTTGATTCCAGCTTCTGCGAGTGTTCTTGATCCAAGTGAAGTAGAAAGCTGATAAACAGAGCAGTAAATAAACAGGGGAGGTGCAGGGTGGTCCATGGTTTGTAGGGACATGCCCCCAAAACAAAGGTTAGTCCAGATTAGAGAACAAAGTTAAGAGGAGGGGCAGTGGGTGTGGCTGTCATGTTCTTGGTGGTGGCAAAGGGAAGGCACATCTGAAACTGTGTTTCTTGTATATCTCTCTATCCAGTACACCCAAAAGTCATGGTGCTAAAGGGCTATGCGCCCTGTAATTTTGAGCCTACTTCGCTTTCCTTTGGCTGCCCCTCAGTTTCGATAAGGTAAGGGCTCCACCCCATGTTCCCTACCTCCTCCTATCTCTTTAAAATGCAACCTTTGTCGGTTTCGTATCTTCATTCTACATTTGCCATTAATCATACTTATACTGTTTTGATACAACGGGCTTTAGATTAATTAACTCTTCTTTTTTGCTTGTTTGTGCACAAGTGTGGCAATTTACTTGAAGAATAATGTCCTTTATTAAAAAAAAACAGTTCCTTTTGGGCATATACAATACCTTAAATAATAGACAACAAGGAGTTCAAACAAAAAAAAGAAATAAATGCAAACTTAATTTCAGCTTAAAAGATAAAGCGCAGACAGAAATCCTAAAAATTTAAATCACGGTGTATTGGCGTTTCTCTGCATAATCGATGAGCTGTTCGAAATCCTTCTCATCGATGAACCCGTCTCTGTCAGAATCGGTGAAAAGAAGAGCGTGGCAAGCTCTGAATGATGGCAAAAGGGCGCCGATGTAGTGGAAGGCTTGGGTGAGCTCGGTGGAGCTGAGGCGGCCGTCGCCGTTGTCATCGTGGTTTCTGAAGATTAGCCTCAATTGCTCCCTTGATATCTTGGGCCTCTGCTGGTACTTTTTGGTTTTGCGAGACATCTCTCTCAAATCTCAAATGGTTTTTGATTTTGATCTCGAGTTTTGTTTGGGGTGTCATGGAGTTGTGTTGTGTGTATATATAGACGTATAATAAGGCATGTGGCCAAAATATTCTGGTTATGAAACACACCATTGTCGCTCACTATTTTTGTTTCACATTTCCGACACCTAAACAACTGAACAGTAAAAAGTAATTTATTCTGTCGGGATGAGATGAGAATTTTGTTTCATAAAGAGATAAAATTTGAGAGAATAATTATAAAGAGATGCCACAAAAAAGCAGCATCATTATGCATGTATCTACGATTTTATGGCACATGTTTATGTGCCTGGGATAATTTTTTTCTTTTACTTATTTTAAACGAGAGAAATGCATACAACACATCTGCATGTGGAAAAAAACCGTTAAAAAAAGAATATAAAAAAAACTACCCAATTCAGAACAGTGGTATTTGCCCTCAAGAACCTTCCTATCTACATTCTAGACATCTTGTACCATCCAAACAAGACAAACGTAGTGGTTGATACCCTAAATGAAAGAATGACCTATCTGTACACTGATCACAAGGATCAAGGCACATTGAGGTACAAGCTAACATGTAGTGAGTCTGGATTGCCGTTATGTTAAAAGAAGTAGGATTGCGGTTCACCCAATTTATCGAGTTTGTTTGGGGTGTCATGGAGATGTGTTGTGTGTATATATATAGACGTATAATAAGCCATGTGGGCACAATATTATGCTTATGAAATTTTGTTTTACAAACAGATAAGTGCGAGAATGAGTTATTTTACCTCAGTGTTGACTTTGAGACTTGAACAACCGGGTTGAAAAAAAAAAACTTAATTTATCGTTAGATTATAAATGAATTGTTTGTTTCTTATACTCATATAGATACGTCAAAAGCTTGCACGTCTATTTTTTAAAGGAGCATGGTTGGGCGGGATCTTCTTCACTAGTGGTTATTATTCATTTGCTCACATGAATTTTTTTTGATGAAGGTATATAATAATCTAAAAGCAGTTTAAATGAGGAAACAGAAAATGGTTACATGCAGTGGGAATTTTGGTAAGGACAAAGATGAAGAGCCCTTTAGGCCTTGGAATATATAATATATATGGGAACAAATGGCTCCTCATTTCCACCATCCATCTGTTGTTCATTCACAAACTGGAGAAAGGGTAAGCATTCATTGAATACAAGCACTACTCCTACTCCTAAAACACTCCTTTACAGTGTTGGTATATACAAGTTGAAAAATACATAAACTTTTTAAATTTATCAAGTTACCTTAAATTAAACCTAAAGAAGCGTCGGGCCAGAAAACAAAAGAATAAGGCAGCGAGCGACACGCGGTGGTCTTTTTCACAAAATTCAGGAAATCCCCCTCCAAAGCACCTGGTTTTCTCCGCCAAAAACCATGGCTTCTACAATCCCCCTGGCCCCCCCCTTATTTATACCCACACAGCTCTGAACCCCCCTCATCCCCTCGTCTTCTTCCATCCATTCAGTCATAAACAGAGAAAGATGTCTAAGAGCGCAGCTTGCAGAGCGTGGTTCGTGGCCGCGAGCATCGGCGCCGTCGAGGCCTTGAAGGATCAAGGCGTCTGCCGGTGGAACAACGTCATCAAATCTCTCCAACAACACGGAAAGACCAAGCTCAGATCTTACTACCCAGCCAAGAAGATCTCTGCTTCCTCTTCTTCAGCCATTGGCAACCAGATGAAGAGGTCTCGCGAGGAAAAAATGAGGAAAGTCATGGACTTGAGCTGTTTGGGTCCCAGTACCATCAGATTCTAGAGATTTTCCTTAAAAAGTTTTGATTTGGCAGAGAAGTTGGTGAAACATAAATCATCGAGTTGGACGCGGGGGGTTGCAGATTTTTAGATGCTCAAGGAAGTTGCAATGTTGTTATACTAAACCAAAAAATAAATTACCCTTAAAATTAGGATCTAGGAAATGATGTACAAATAGTTTGCAAGTTACTTCAATTCCCCAGGTTTGGTTTGGGTTACTTTTGTCCGTGGATATTCAAATTTTCCTTCATTTTCCTCTCTGCCAAACCAGAGTTGAAAAATATATATCCTTTTCGCTATTCCCTTGAGGGATCTGAGAGCAGCAATGTTCTGGGTCCGATCGAGTATAGAAAAGCACTCGTTTCCAGCCATAGAAATTCTCAATTTTTTTCTTATTCTCCATTAACAACGGATGCAAATAACATGTTAAACAGAAGAGAATGGAACTTACTACCGCAGTCTGGAAAAGAACGGAAAGGGATTCCGTTGCCTCCGTTCTTCTGCGTAGAAGATGTTACATATGTTCAGTCTCCTTCCTTCATCAGATCACTCGACGAAAGTACATCCTTTTGCTAACATTTTCCAGATTTTTTCCTCACTTGGATGCCAATTTTTAGGCAGCTGCCATAAAAGTATAAAAAAGGGGTCATCATCAAATGAAGACGTTAATAGCTTCAAAGATACAGCGACCACACTTTGTCCAGAAGTTGAATCAAATGAGAATTGATGCATGGAGGATTATCAGACGGTGATGATGATATGCATAAAACTTTTGTCAAATGTCTATAACCAGGAGAATGATATATGCCTCAATTTTTATTACACAATATATTGTCCATGTAAATCTGATCAATCAAAATTGTTGGTTTGGCTTTAATTCATATTCAATTTCAGTCCTAGTCTCTTTAAACTTTCAGTTGTTTCATCATGATCTCTCATCTTCCATCAAAAACCCTGAACACAAGCATATCGCTTTTACTTTTACTGGTTTAATCACACATTTTACATGAGAGATCCCACGTTGATTGAAGAGGGGAACGAGTACGAGCGATGACGTTATCCCCGATGGAGTGGATTGTGAGATCCCACATCAGTTAGAGAGGTGAACGAAACATTCTTTATAAGGGTGTGAAATCCTCTTCCTAGCATACACGTTTTAAAAATTGAGGGAAGTCTAAAAAGAAAAGCTCAAAAAGGACAATATCTGTTAGCGGTGAGCTTAACCGTTACATTACCTTTCGTTGAGTTATCTCAAGGGACAAGATCTTGTGATTGGGATAATTAAATCCATCCTATGACACAAGTGCAGTCTCTTCATTTGGAACACAACTGAAAACAACTGAGAGCGCCCTTTAGCGCCCTTTACCATCAAATACTACTTAATCCAGAAAATGATGCAAGTGTGGATAACTATATTTTAACATGAATAATGATAAGACTAGTTGAATCCTACAATATTTTTACCTTTGATTCATACGCCAAGTCTTTGTGGCGCGGTATGATGTGTTCTTTTCTGATCCTTCACCATACTAAAAGTAGAAGAGTCTCTAACAATTCTCCCTATTGCATTCTACTTTCCAGCTACAACGGTTTTGCATCTAGCGGTTCCAGCCAAGCATTCCTGTTTATTTGGCTTTAAACAAGTGTTACGCTCATCTTTGTTCTGTAGTAGTGATACTTTTGGACGAAGTATCTGATGAGAAACAAAAAAGATTAAACACATCTCCCTGAAAGAAAATTGATTGCAAGAAAACCTTAAGTTTGATTCAGGAGTTACCTTTGGTTTTGAAGGCTTGAGGTGGACTGGCTTATCATTATAGAGTTTCCCGACCCTCCTTGTGTTGGAACTTGCGTCTTCCACTTGAATTATTAATGTGCTTGAGCATACACTTGAAACTTTGTCTTTGTTCATTGCTGCATGAGTCATCCTGCGAAAGCTCCCACTACTTCGAGTACTATTGGTGATACTCTTAGCACCAAAACCAGGATTCAAAGAAGAGTGATGGCCGCTTGACTGCCTATTATCCTCCAATCTTGGTGCTTGCTGACTAATGACACAGCTTTTTCTGAGACATCTCATATCTGACAAAAGTCTACTAGAATGGCCCAATGTTTGACTTGTTGCCAACATTGGCTTATGCGGTGGTCGAGGACTGATACCAGTTCTGCTGTCAGCTGGCTCCTTTCCCCCTGGACTAAAACCAGTAGCTGAAACATTTAGCATTGCGTTTCCAGTTAAACAGGTTGCAATAGAAACCAAACTTGGATCTGAACTCAAGATTCTTTTTGAGTCTGTAAAGCTCCGCTTCGGCCTCGGCTTCCATTTAGTGGCTGCTGATCCTGAACTCAGCTCCTCAACTATGACTTGCTTGTCCATTGCAAAATCCTGACAGATACCTTTCGATTTCTTGTTGTCAAAATCTCTCCCTCTTGATCTTGAGACAGAGGTGAGAATTCTTGGAATAGAATACACTAATAATTCAAAATCTAAAGCCTTTGCTTCCTCAAACAGCTGAGAAAATTCTGATTTCAGGTCATGAGAGGAAGTTTGGTGGACCCTGGCATGTTTATTGGTTTTTAAGGAAAACAAAGAGAACTAAATCATGAAAAAATATATATGCTTCACATCTATTCTGCAAATGGAAAAAACTATGAAGGATGCTTACGGGTGGTATGTATAGAACCATTTATCATCACTGCAATCAAAGTCAGAGCATATGGGGAATTAAAAAGAAAATAATGGCACTAAATGCATATTAATCTGACATATACCATCACAACTTATATCAAATACTCACATGTTCTGATTTTTGGACTTCCCTTCTAAGGTGAGATCAACCCACATGGGTGCTTCAATTTCTTCCTGTTTCAATCAGAAATTACACACCAAAAGAACAAATAAGGTCCCATTATGAAACAGTTTTGTTTGTTGTACTCAATTTTGAAAAATCATACTTGTTTACCAAATAAGTGCAAGTATGCGTGGTTTTGTAAGATTAATTTTTAAAATCAATATCATTCCCGGAAACAAGAACGTAGAAAATATATGAGGCAAGGTCATCGTCTCTCTCTCTAAGCATTCTGATTCTCAACTGAGATTCTGAATCGCTAAAACTGAAGCAATTTCCAGGATAACTGGGCGTTATCTTCCCCCCTTGATTCTCAAGCACAAGTTAAATAAGAGAAATGTGACTTGAATAGACAGGATAATTGATGAACAGAAAACAACATAATATAATCAATTGATCAAGAAACCTGCCATCGAAATGGAAAACCTAGGAAATCAAACATTGAAAAATCAATCAATTCTGCACAAGAAATCCAAAAAAAAAAAAAAGAAAAAAAAAGAATGGATGAACGCGAACAAAGAACGAGAAATAATATTAACAAATTAAACCAAAATATGAAAGAGGGTATGAAGTTAACCAATCAAATATCCTTTTTCCCGTAAGAACAAAAGAACAAAAAACCAGTGAATCCCAGAATGTGAAATGATTCAAGAACAAGAAAAGATACCAGAAAAGCCCAATGATCATAGGACTTGATGGGCATCATTTTTGGACGCTGAAACTTTTGTGGGGTTAAAGAAACTCGCAATCCAGATTAGCGATTTCTGTGTTGGGAGGCTTTTGAAAGTTTCTTCAAAATACCTCCATTTTCAGGCCATTGTTGAACCCATTTACATCGTTGAACCCATCCTTCAAAATACCTCCAATTTACATTGTGGACGTTTGCAGACCGTCTGATTTGCGGAGTTTTCTAATTGAGTCGATGGAATGGACGGTGTATATATTTCATCTGAATTCCCGTAGCACGGTTTGGAAATGTTTCAGGAAGTGGCGCGCAGTCGCAAATCATTATGACCCTTGGAAACTTCTAACTGCTGGAGGACAAATAATTACTTTTATTGCCATAATTTGTTGATTTTTTGTAATTAAATTAATTTTATAAATTCAAGAATTTAATTATATCTTAACAAATATTATGGAACAAAAAAGGAATGGAGTTTGTAATAAATAGTATGAGATTTTTGGTTTTAGATTATTTCTTTTACTATTCAAGGGATTCTCAACAGGCGGGGATAGCTCAGTTGGGAGAGCGTCAGACTGAAGATCTGAAGGTCGCGTGTTCGATCCACGCTCACCGCATTGTATTTTTCCTTTTTAGCGGATATAACCCGTACGACGTCGTCTCAGCCCATAAACCCCAGTTTCACTTCTAATATGAGCCCGGCCCATTGAAGAAAAGTTTAGGGTAAGGGCTGGTTTTTAAAAATTTTATATTGGATTTATGAAATGACAAAAATATCCCTTACAATATATAAAATTTATTTTAAAATCAAAGCAACCAACTCCTCCCATAGCTCTTTTTATCAAGGGATCAAAATGTTAAAATCATTTTACCACACAAATAACTTGTAGCAAAACTAACAAAAATCTTTGACTAAACTTTGTACTAAAACTTAAATTTTTTTCTAGGCTGAGTGATCTACATACCTTATACATATATGCTTTACTTGAAATGCCACGTGTTGTCACTTATGTACGAAATCTTTTGTAGTAGATCTTACCGAATGCAACATGACAGCAAGATTATAAATGTTTTTTTTATCATGAAAGCCAAACTAAGTTGCGGGTAGTTTAGTTGAAAGAGAGTAAGATTGAAGATGTGAAAGTCGTTAGATTCATGTTCACAATAAATTTTTTTTCTTTCAAATCTTTTTTCCATAAAAGCTAAGAAGAAGAGTACCCAAATAGGAGGAGAATTTTTAGAACCAACGAACAAAAAAAAAAACCCCTAAAAGTTGGCAAATTGAAAAAATAGGCCTCGAAGATTTTGGTTCATTTCATAAGTGAATTCTAAAAAATTGCACCCTAATAATATGGGAAATTATTTTATCACACGAAAAAAGAAAAAAAAAAAAAAAGAAAAGATAAAATGTGGATAGAAAGAGATGAGTTGGAGATACATAAAAATCTAAAGAAGGAATGTGATTGGCTAACAAAACTCTCTGTTTACCCCACAAAATTTCTGGGTCTTCCATTCTTCACCACTCATCTTCACCACTCATCTTCCCCATTTTCTCATAATATTCCCCCACTCGATTTCTCTCTTCTTCTCGCACCTTTCCCACAACTCTAACACACACCTCAACTACGATGTCGATGGCCGCCACCTCCACCGCCATCCTCCGCCCCACCCCTTTTCTCGGCCAAAGCAGAGCCTCTTCCCACAACTCCCTCAGAGATGTCGTCGCCATGGGAACTCCAAAATACACCATGGTCCCGACCCCTTTCGTTTTCTCTCTCCCTACCTTTGCTTCCTTTTGTTTTAGGGAGTGTTGAAATTGATGATGTTTTTTTTATTTTATTTTATTTTGGATAGGGAAATGAACTGTGGTATGGACCAGACAGAGTAAAGTACTTGGGGCCCTTTTCCGCTCAGACTCCCTCCTACCTGAATGGAGAGTTCCCCGGCGATTATGGATGGGATACTGCTGGGTTGTCCGCCGATCCCGAGGCCTTCGCCAAGAACAGAGCTCTTGAGGTAATTTCCATCCCCATCCTTGCTTAAGAATCAATCAAGGTATTAATTTGATGAATTCAAATTTTGATTTACATATGGTCGAACGGAATTGCAGGTAATCCACGGGAGGTGGGCGATGTTGGGAGCCTTCGGGTGCATAACACCAGAAGTGCTAGAAAAATGGTTGAAAGTGGACTTCAAGGAGCCAGTCTGGTTCAAGGCCGGAGCCCAGATCTTCTCAGAAGGGGGGCTCGACTACTTGGGGAACCCCAACCTGGTGCACGCCCAGAGCATCCTAGCCGTTTTGGGTTTCCAAGTGGTCCTAATGGGGCTGGTTGAAGGGTTCCGCATCAACGGGCTGGACGGCGTGGGCGAAGGCAACGACCTGTACCCAGGGGGTCAGTACTTCGACCCACTCGGACTGGCCGACGACCCCGTCACCTTCGCCGAGCTGAAGGTGAAGGAGATCAAGAACGGGCGGCTGGCCATGTTCTCCATGTTCGGGTTCTTTGTTCAGGCCATCGTTACTGGGAAAGGCCCCCTCGAGAACCTTCTCGACCATCTCGATAACCCTGTGGCCAACAATGCTTGGGTTTACGCCACCAAGTTTGCCCCTGGCTCATAATTAAGCGATGTGTGGTGGGTTCGTCGATTAGAAGGCTGTGGATGTGATTATTAGAAGGCTGTGGATGTGATTATTAGAAGGCTGTGGATGTGATTATTAGAAGGCTGAGTAATGGATTTATGGAATGATTATTCTTAATCTTAATTACATCATTTAATTTAGATCTAATCTGCTATCACAATACAATGGTTTGATTTAATTTATTTTATAATGATATCTACCAAACCAAAAATTATGCTGGGAAGAAAATATGGTTCTTCTATTCTCAAAAAAAATCACATAAATGTCAAAAATATGATATTACTTTACCTCATCTCAATATTGACTTAAACCAATAATCAAAGAATAAAAGTAAAAGATATTAACTCTTATTTAGATTATGATATCAACATAGTTCTCATTATGTTTTTGGTAAATATGTCAAAAAAAAAAAAAAAAAAAAACCCGACAAAAATGGTATTTAATTATGAAAGGGTAAAATGGTATTTTCAGGTCCCAGGTCAAAATTCAAGAAGTACAAACATACTCCTTCTTTTAGCTTCTTGCTTCCCTTTGATCTTAGGGTTTTCATTGTCAATCTTCGCGGCTTTATTTCTCGGCGATGGCGAAGAACAGGAATAAGAAGAAGAAGGGAAGTGGAGCAATTTCCATGGACATAACCGAAAATTCTGTTCACGAGCTCCCTCAAGGTACATTTCAGTTATGTGAAAAGGGATTGAACTTAACAGTATCAGAAAGAATGAGAATTTATCTTCCAGATGTTTTTACTTGTCGTTTCTTGTCCATTGCCCCCCTTTAAGATGTTTTAGATCTCCTGTGTTTTCATAGAGTAGTTTTCAAGTTTAACTAAGTGATTTCCCCCTTGAATTTAAAGCGATGGACGTGCTGAGTCTGCAGTTCATAAACCAGCTTCTGGCGCTCTCAATCTGTAAGCTTCTACCTGGAAATTGTGCTTAATTTTTTTAACCACAATTCATCATGCGCTTTTGCTTTTGTTTGTGGTTTCAATTCTCAAGTGTTCCCAGTTCCTGATTTTAGATTAATTGCCTTTGTTGAATTGTTGTGCACAGAGATGAGTTAGATTTGGATTTCATTATTTCACATGACTAAGCCAATATCCCAAGTTTGTTCATTTTGAGATGAGGCCGAGAAAATTAGGATGCATCTTTAAATGCTATCAAACAAGAAGCTTTCTTGGGTTTGGTTGTCTCTGACCGACCGTATTTCAATTTGTATTTTGATTGCTGAGATGACGTTGTTTAACGTTGGCTGTTCTACTAGATTTGTTTGTTATTGCCCTTTTCCTATTTGCACCACCCACTATGTCTGATCAGTACCCTTTGTTGGATAGAAAGCTGAAGAAGGGGGGAAGACCAATGAAGCGATCGAAGAATGTTAGGAAAACAAAAGCCATATCCAAGACCGAACAATCCGCCGAGAAAATATTGAAAAATCAGGGGAAAACTACCAGGATACACTCTGCAAAAACATTGTATGAATGATACAGCCCTTAAATTATGAAATTGATTTATTTCTGTTCCCTTCATAGATTTTTATGTTATTTACTTCATAGATTTTTATGTTATTTACTTCGACCCACAAAGCGTGTCAACCCTGCAAATTCCAAAGTCCTAGTCACTTGAGAAATCCATGTCTGAAAACCGGCCTACTTGCAGAGAGCTTCAAGGTAAGCGCTCGGGTGGAGAAAGATCCACAGGAGTCCAAAGGCTCATCTAATGGCGTCAATACCTTGACACCCCAACCAGACCCATCCAAGCTTTTAGTTCTCTATCAAAGATGACTCTTTCCATTGCTGCTGTCCCAACACCCACCCACCAATGCACCTTTTCTAAGATAAAGGTTGTAAATTTCAGGAAACGCGAGAGTCCCCACTCCACACGTTCTTCCAAAAACTAATCCTCTGTCTATCTCCAGCTTTGGTAAATCTATGAATACCTTCCATGCTTATTAAAGATTTGGATTTACCATTGGACTTGAGGGATTTCAAGGCCTTCTCTCTGCCCTCTGCCGTTCACAAATGTGAAAGATGTTAAATATTTACTCTTCTGCATCAAAGATGTGTTCCCCTTTAGCACAAAGAGCTTCAATATTATCCTCCATCGATCTCATAGAAACGTCGCTTTGTCCCAACCTCTCAATTTTAAACCGGCTTTTGCCTGTTACATACTAGTGTTACGTATGGTTATTATGGACTTCACAATCCATCCTCTTGAGGTATGGGAGAAGTTTCCACATCATAAAGGAATGTTTCGATGTTCCTCTCTAGCCGATGTGGGACTTCACAATCTTGGGGGCTAGCGTTCTCGCTAGTACATTGTTTTGTCTGACTTTGATATCATTTGTAAGAATCCAAGTCCACTACTAATATATATTGTAACAATCTAAGTCTACCACTAGCATATATTGTCAATTTTGACCCGTTACATATTATTATTAGTCTTGACGTACTAAAACTTGTCCATCTTTATAAAAAATTCATTTTTCCATTGGGACGTAAGATCCTCACACCTTCAAATGCAGAGATTATGAATGCAAACTAAGATAACTAACATAATTGATGATAAGGCTATGTGTCTCTCCTTCAAATCTAATCCTTTTCCATATTTTTGTGTGTTTTATTTGGCCTCACTCACTCACTCTATTTTCATCCGGATAACCTCCACCGCTTTAAATCTCACCATAGCTTGCTGCTACCGACTAAGGCTGTGCGTTTCCATTTCTCATTTAAAACTTTTACCCTCCTGTCCATTTTAAATTTTTAAGAAACCAATTCCGTAATGGATATAAATTCTAGAAGTTCCTGTAAATCTTAAAATTTTAATTTTTAATGTATAGATCTATAGACTTAAAATTCAAAAGCTTCTCAACCTAAGGCTTTTAATGAAAGGAAAAGAAAAAAAAAGATAAATATTTAATATAAACATCACCCCAAACGAACACCAAGTTGAAAGGTGTGTCAAAAAGAAATCTAAACAGAAAATAAATAATAAAAACCCTAATCCTTGATTCCTTATCTGATACTAATCTTGCCTATTTAAAATTTGGGAAAAAGGGAAATGGTTCAATTTGGAGTAAAAAATATACACAAAGCTAGTTGGCTCTACTGCCCACCATCTCCTGGTACTGCTTCAGCGATTCCTGCCTCTGCAACCTCATCTCATCGTTGAACTTTTTTATGAACGCCTCCACTCGCCGGTTTAACTCTTCCTGGGTCAGCGACGGTTCTCTCTTCAGCCTCCCCGACCCCCCCGGCGACGGACTCGGTGACCCCACGTTGCTCCGGTCCTTGAACGTCTCTGACTTCTTCATCACCTTCGAAGGCGGCGTCGCTGGATCCACCGCCATGTTGGCCCTTCGCCCCTGTGACTCCCACGTGTCCGACTTCCTCAAGTGCCTCGTTAACGGCATTGACCTCCCCTCCGTTATTGTCCTCCACGTGCTCTCCAGCGTGTCCTGCCTCTTCGGTTTTGAAACCCCCAACGGCTTCCCTGCGCGGCCAACAAAACCCCATGACCTTCATTCTAATTACTTCTTTTGCCATTTTAGAATAAAACCCCTTTCAAGGGTACTTTAGGTATTTGCGATGGAAACTTAGTTCCGTTGGAGCCTTTGAACGGCATGGGAAATAAAGTCGGGTGTGTGACCTACCACCGAAAGGCTTGGTGTTTTTGGCAGCTTTTTCAAAATTTTTATCCCAAAAAGAAAAAAATTCCATTTGATTTTGTGCTTCGTGCAACCATAGGCTCCGACGATCTTTACCGGCACGATACTCCGAAACTCATCTTAGAATTTATACCGTCTCTAAAATTGATTCATATGACTAGCTACCAGAATCGGTGTTCATAAATTCATAAGAACAGAGATAGAGAGAAAGAAATAGAGCTCGAACCTTCAGGACTGGCTTTCACGAGTTTCCGTTGGCCGATTCTTGAAGAAACCGGCGGTTTCTCCTTCTCGTTTGAAAACAAAAGTCCAACGGAATCTTTCCTATGCAGAGTGTTCGTCATCGGACTAGACATAGCAGTCTCATCAGCAGCTGTTGTCAGAATCAAAGAATCATTCTCCCCTTTCTTCTCCATCATCCGTCCGTACACGCCGTTCGATTCGTCAATCTGAAGGTCCGCAATCTTAGTGACGGCGTTCTGATTCGCATTGTTGTAACAGTATCCATTCAAAATATCGGTACCGCCACAAACAACATAGTCAGACTCAGAGGAGATCTTAGCGAGGGGCGGAGGAGAAAGCGTCTCCGGAACGGATAGCCCGGATTCCCCATCCTCCAGCTTCTGCTGGAGCTTAGAAGAGGCAACAATACTGATGATTATGCAATTAACAACCAAGTAGAGATAAGGAGGTCTTAACCAGGAGATGAAGCATGTCCAGATGGAAGGGATTTCAGAGACGAGGAAATCAGCCACCAGTGGAACAGAGAGCTTGAGAAAGACGGCCATGGACAAAACTCCGGTGGAGATCAGGAAGATCTTGAGGGAGAGGATCCATTGGTAGTTGGAGTTAGAGGAGAGAATCGGCATGGCGATGTTGTGGTGAGAGGTTTAGAAACTTACCTTAGCGATTGGTTTGCTTTCACCTGAGATTCTTGGCGGTGGGTGCCGCCAGAGCTTCGTTTCGTTCGGGGAGCGGGACAGTGTTCGTGAAGGCTTTTTATGCAAATCAGCCTTTATATATATTTATGAGTCTATTTTTATTACGTCTTAAATGTTCCGGCGTGTTCGGCCAAATGCCAAATTTCCCAAATCATTTTTTCCTCCTTTTTTTTTTTTTTTTTTTTTTTATAAAGAAAGAAAATATATATGGACAAAATACTTCCAATATATAAAATAAGATCAATTTATTTTTATTTTTTAAGGCTAACAAAATGTTTTAAATGGAATAATGGGGGGAAAAAGAGGTATAATGTAAATATTTGAAAAAATGGGGAGTTCCCAACGGCTATATTTGATGGGAAAAATAAGAGCGTTGATTTGGGAGGAGGGAGGTGGATCCGACCGCTCACAACAGGCCGTCCCGTCCGTCCGTCTCTCCTAATCTGTAGGAGTGATCAAAAAGAAAGTGCATATTCTCCACTACTTATCCCATTCTTTTGTTTCCCTTCGAATATTAAACTTTACATTAATTAATGCAGTGAATTTGTTTAATTAAATTTCGAAATTTATACTATTTTCTACCTAGCCCTAACCTTTGATTACTATTCCAGTTTAGTGTTTAATTTTCCAATAAAAATTCAAACCACTTTAAAGAATCAAATTTACTACGAATTTTCAAACCCAAACAATTAACTTTTCTTCTACTTATTCTTGTTAATTCATTCATTTTTATAACAAAAGGAGCGTGTTTGGGAGATACTTGACGTGTACCCTTCCTAGAAAAGTTCGAAGTTCCCATGAACTAAAAACATTTATATCAAATCTTACAAAATAATGAAACTAAGAGGACCAGTGTTGCTGGTTTCTTAATGAAGAGGATATACCTAAATGGATTAAGGTATATAGACACGGTGGCATCATCATGTCAACAACATTCTTTCCTTCTTCACAATTCACTAGGATACCTTTCTTCGTTCTACGATGTTCTTTCATTTATTGTGTTATAAAAAGAGGCAACATTCTTTCATGAAACATCGTATTATTCTACCTTTCTCTTTTGCAGCTATTGTTCTTCTTTTTCATCATCTAATCCAAACACAGGTTCTGTTTCTTTCTTCTTCTGTTTTTCACATAACAACATATTCAAAACTCCTATTTGAATCTATTAGCTAAAGTGTTTCTGTTGCCCGATGTAGGGACAGAGGAATGGGGCAGTTCATTAGTTCAAGATTGGCGGGAGTTTGGGACAGAATTGACCAAAAGTTGAACTATTACAGAGTCTTTGAACAAAACTTGGTTGTCCTACAAGAGTTATCAAGGGATCTTGGCGTCCAATTAGAAGAACTCGAAGAATGTTCGAGTTCGTGTTCAGAAGAAAAGGAGGAATGGCAGGAGAAAGTAGATGCATTGATCGACGAAGTCGAAGACATCGAAAGATCAATCAGAAAATGGAAGGTTAGATCAGTTGCAGTTTATCTTTATGGAAAGGTTGTTGGAGAGAAGACGAATGAGGCCAAAGAGCTACTTGAAGAAGGGAAGTACTACTTTCCCAACAGCTTCAAGTATTTGATACTTGGAGGAGGAGTGGCAGCAGGATATGCAGCAAGGGAGTTTGTTAAACAGGGCGTGAAGGCAGGGGAGGTTGGTATAATTTCGGAGGAGTCGGTGGCACCTTATGAACGTCCCGCGCTGAGCAAGGGATATCTGTTGCCCAAGAATGCAGCAAGGCTGCCGCAGTTCCATGTGTGTGTTGGGAGTGGAGGGGAGAGATTGGATAGGAGTTGGTATGAGAAGAATGGAATAGAATTGATCCTTAACACAAAGATTGTAAAAGCAGCTCTTGAGTCAAAAACTCTCACAAGTGAAGATGGTACGAATTTCAAGTTTGGAACTTTGATCATTGCCACAGGTTCAAAGGGGCTAAAACTCAGAGATTTTGGCGTCAAAGGGGATGAAGCCAAGAATGTTTTGTGCTTGAGAGATATCAAGGATGCTGATCAAATTGTAGAAGCAATGAAAGCCAAAAAGAACGGGAAAGCAGTGGTTGTTGGAGGTGGATACAATGGACTTGAAGTTGGAGCAGCCTTAAGACTCAATAATTTGAGTGTTACAATGGTGTATCCTGATCCTTGGTGCCTGCCCCGCCTATTTACGAAAGAGATTGCCGAATTTTATGAGCGATACTACACGTCAAAAGGGATCAGAATCATGAAGGGAACAAGTGTAATCGACCTGGAATCCGATTCAAACAAAGAGGTAAAGAGGGTGAAGCTGAAAAATGGAAGGGAGCTAGAAGCTGACATTGTTATAGTTGGAATTGGAGCAAGACCTGCGACAGGGCTATTCCAAGGGCAGCTTGAGTTGAACAAAGGAGGGATCAAAACAGATGGGTTGTTCAAAACGAGCATGAAGGACGTGTATGCGATTGGGGACATCGCTTGTTTCCCAATGAAGATGTACAATGAGATGAGACGAGTTGAACATGTCGATCATGCAAGAAAATCAGCCATGAAAGCTGTGGAAGGCATCATGGGAAAGGGCAAGGGCAAGGTTGTTGAAGAATATGACTACCTACCGTACTTCTACTCACGCGTCTTCGACCTGTCGTGGCAGTTTTACGGGGACAACGTCGGAGAAACAACGGTGATGTTCGGAGACAGAAATCCGGCAGCGAAAAAGCCAAAGTTTGGGTGTTATTGGATCAAAGATGGGAAACTAATGGGAATTTTCTTAGAAGGAGGGAGTGCTGAAGAAAACAAGGCCATTAAGGAACTAGCATGGCTTCAGCCAAAGGTTGGGGATGGAAAAGAATTGAAGGACAATGGTGTTTCTTTTGCCTTTGAGCTTCAGGATATCCTAAAAAGACAAGCTGCCTAAACTACACATCTACTTGTATATATTTTTCATTCATTTAGCTGATTGTTGTGTTCTATTTCATAATAATAATGAGGCTAAATATGTGTTTTAGTCTCTAATGATGTTTGGATACTCATTTGTTTTCGTCTCCTAATATGTTTTTAATCATTTCTTAATCGACTCATAATACGCTTACAAGACAACTTAGTTGAAGATTGAAGATTTGAAATTCATTTCACAGTTAGGGCACTACAAATTAAAACAGAGCTGAAGATTTAAGATTGAAAAGGAAGAAGATATAAAGGCTTACAGTGGGTTGAACCATATCCCGTCCTGCCCACCAGATAAAAGCAGCGACTCCGACAATTGGACTAACAACTGCAACAAGCTGAACATGAACAGGCATATATGTTAACAGATGAAACCAAATTTCAAGCAGGTCAAAAAGGAAATCATCTTCAATCAGTTCTGGAATGCAAGCAGGGTAGTCCCAATAATCAGTAAAACTAGAAGCAAGGAGCACCAAATGAACCAGGTTCCACCCATTTTCCAAATAGAAAGAAGTGGTGCGATACTTAAAAGAATAAAAAACAGAGAGAGACGAAGACTACATACCCAAATGGAAACAATGGTGTCCAAAACCCACCCAAGCTGCCCTGTAACCGAAAGGTAAGTTAACCCAACAGCCAAAGCAATATTACCCAGAAGCCTCGCGGTTGCCCCATCGTCTCCGCCGCCGCCATTAAACCCAAAACCCCTTATCCGGTGGCTACCGCTGGTCCAACCCCCAGCTAAAGAGAAGCAATGGTCAATGAGGTTAAAGGTGAAGCAACAGTTGGGGGTTGAAGTTCCCTTTAATATGTCTTTAATTAAATATTTAATTCGTCAGCATAAAGGCGGGGATAGCTCAGTTGGGAGAGCGTCAGACTGAAGATCTGAAGGTCACGTGTTCGATCCACGTTCACCGCATGTTTTTATCAATTAATTACCAACAGTTCTGCCACGACGTCGTTTGGTCATTGTCTAACGTGTAAGGGTCCGTCTACTTGAAAATATTATTAAATACAGATATAATTTTTAAATTAATTTTTAACAGTTCCATTTGTCCTTTTCTCTTATAATTGTAATCCATAAACATAGTTAATGTGGTATGATTACATTAATTTAAAATTGTTGGGAAGTAATTACAAAGATAAACTCTGTATGCATAATTGTCACAAATAAACTCATTGTATATACATACAAGCATGCGTACAATTTGATAATTATTTCATGATTCTAGACATTTATCTCAAACTAAATATGCATACAAAAAGTCCCACAATGTTTTAGAAAGATTCATTTCAAATACGCATTATTAATACAAAAGAAAAAAAATTGAAACCCGGGTTTATCTAATAGAACCTTGTCTTACCTCGAAGCCAAGCTAAAACTAAAACACTTCAATCCTTCTTAAAAGGAATTAAGCTTCTAAGGAACTATTTCAGGTAAGCATTTACGTATGTTAAAACAATTAGAGTGTTGATGAACAAACCAAGTGGAGTGGAAGTCAATCCAAGATTTGCTGTGCATGAGCCGAGTCAAACTGCTTTTTCCCCACGAAATAGGGCTGATTCGACCATTCTCTGGAGACTTCCTTACCATGTTGATCCAGGCTACAACGATGCATCTTAGGAATATAATCACTAAGCCGAGGCCAAATTGGAGGACTTATTACTCCTGCACTTTGCGTGCTACTTTCATCTAAAATGAACTCACCCTTAAATATTTAAATACGTTGTTGCTGAGTTTCAACCCTTTTTTCTTAAAATAAATATAAGAAGATACAAGTGTGGGAGAGATGGAAGAGAGAGAGAGAGAGAGAAATATAAAATAAAACCTATGTGGGGGCAGAAATAAATAAATAAATAAATAAATGAGGGAAATTCATTGATAGAGGTTGATGGGTAGGGTTTGAGTGGAAGTATCAATCACATAGATAATTGTTGTGATATGTAATCCAAAATTAAGCACTAATAATTCAAAGCATTATAAAGTTGTTTTGTATTGTTTCCTGGTAATGGAATGCAAATAAAAGGTGGATTGAATATGGGGCAGTTTTAAGATAATGATTCCCATTTAAGATAATTCTGGGAAATGGTCCCATTTAGCCCTCTCTTTCTTCTCAATTTCTTCGTCATCTCATGGAATATGCTTACCAATGTCTTAGCATTGCAATCAAATGAAATAAATTTTTTAATTAATTAATTAATTAATTTTGTTTATATAGCTATAGCTAATAAACTTTATTGGGGTGGAAAAAGGAAGATTTGTTGCAAAAGAAATAAGATTTGTTTCCCATTGGGGTTTGTATTAACCGCAGCTTCCATTGCTAATTAACATAAATCAAATATATTCATCATAACTAACTGCTCTCTACAAAATCAAAGGGTTTCACTGTTCTTCATTCTTCTTCTTCTTCTTCTTTTTTTTTTTTTAACTATGTGACACATTTCTTTTATTTCTGAAATCAAATAACATTACCTTCTACCGAACAAAACCTCAATACCTATACCCAAATCTAAATCATTTTGTTTCGTTTTTTCTTTTTTTTTTTTAATTATATACGGTCTCTCATTCTGATTCTGATTCTGAGTTGAATTGAATTTGATTGAATTGAGTCGAACTAGGTGTACCAATTTGCATCTGGGATTTGGTACGCGGGTCGAAAGAGGCCTTCCGGTAGGGAGGCAAAGAGAGTGTGGCGGTGGTGGTGGTTGGAAGGCGGTGGAGTTTGATGAGGGAGGTTGGCGAGCAGGGTGGGGAGTGAGGAGGTAGAGTTTTGGGGATTGGTGTCAATAATACTATGAGAAGTCCTCGTAAAAGAAGTAGAAGCCTCCCCTGAAGTGGAGTTGTCAAAATGCAATCTTTTATTGGAAGAAATACCTGAATGATGTTCCTCTTGTTGTTCCGTGGCCCAGAACAAGGAATTGGGTGCCTGTTTTGAATTGGCTGCGTTGTTAATGTCCAGTCCTGCTGCATCATTGTTGGCACCCATAATTCCTCGAACCATATTTGGATCATTTTGAAGGAATGTGGTGTGGTAATTCATTCCCAATTTTGGGTATTGATGATTGAGTCTTATGGATGATGGGGGTATTGATCCCATCATCATCATCTCCTCCAATGGATCTTCCCTCTCCTCATCCATTGCCCCTCTATGCGAGCTGTTCTTCTTGTAAATTCGGCATAAAACCCAATCATCAAGCTGTAATTGGTACCAAACAATGAATCAAAATTGTGATTGAATTGGAAAAGGGTATTGGAGGAGAGATTGAATGAATTGAATTACCTTCAAGGAGTTCTTGTTGGGGAAATCATAGCCAGGAGGCTTGTTGATGTTGGGTTTGTTATCAGCCAACCTATATTCATGCATAATCCAACTGGTCTTGATCCCTTTAGGTGGCTTTCCCCCATAGAACACCAGCGCCTTCTTCACTCCAACTTTCTGATTGCTTCCACTCGAGGCCAACACCGGCTTGTCTGTCCCCGTCGCCTTCCAGTACCCCGACGTTGCTGCTCGATTCGGCCGCGCTCCGTTCGGATACTTCCTCTCCCTTGGAGTGAAGAAATACCATTCCTGTTCTCCAAAACTAGCCTTGGCTGATATAATAAAATCATCATCAATTAATTATTTATTTATTTGTTTGTTTGTTTATTTATTTAATTAAGATGAAATTGAAGCTTGCTTGCTTGCTTGCTTGATGATACCTGGAAGCTCCCATGGATCGAACTTGTAGAGATCGACCTCGGCAATTATGGCGACCGGCAACGGCAAAGAATTGGCTTTCTTCTTCAGGTAGTGAACGACGAGCTCTTCGTCGGTGGGGTGAAATCGGAACCCCGGCGGTAAGTTCCGCTGCGGTGAACCCGCCGACGAGTCGATGCTCTCCATCGTCCAATTTCCGATCACTCTGATTCTTTCTTTATTGTTGTTTTTGGAGAGACGTAGAGGAAAGGAGGAGGGAGGAAATGAGTTTTCCGGTAACTCAAAAATGGTGAACAAATCAGGCAAAGCTAATCTTTTAAACGGACTATGAAGCCTGGGTATTATCCTGTACGCTCGGTTATATGTTACTACTCCATGGAAACCCAATTGAACGGCGCCGCGTCGTGTAACAAAAAAGAGGGTATTCAGGTCTTTTGATTGTCAGGAATTGTAGGTTGATTCGAGCAGACTGCAGAGTTGGAGAAGCGTGACGCAGGCGATGGCCGCCTTATGCTGATGTAAAGTGTCGCTGAAGCCGTTAACTGGTAGACGCGTGCGAACTCAGTACACGTGTGAAACTGATATGTGGGGTCCACTATCCATACACACACAAAGTTAAGCTTTTTTTCTTTTTGTTTAAAAAAGAAGAGAGAGAAATTTTTAGGAAGGAACTTTCAAGAATCATCTCTCTCTTTTTCTGGCGCGCCTTCTAATTTTAGGTGCCCTAGTATTTTAGTTTCTAAATTTAATTCTACAATCTGTTTAATTGCAAAAAAGAAAAATAAACCAATGGTTTGACAAATTATTTTTATTATATTTATTCTCTCAATATAGTTTTTACTTTCATATATATATGCAATATATTTGTAATTAAATATAATTAAAAAAAACTTTATGTTAATTTGAACATGAATGAGTGAATTAGTCATATTTTCAGGTACCAAATGAAATGGTGGAGTATGAGAATAAAAACACGTGCTTTATATCAACCAAAAATATCAAAAAGTAAATGTTTGATCAGACAAATCTCCTGGATTTAAGGGTCTTTGGAGAAGGGCAATAAGTGATTTAAAAATAAAAATAAAAAAGTAATTAAATAGGAATTAAAAAAGATGAAAACAAATTTAGAGGAGATAATCCTCCATATATTTACCTAATTCTTCCATTCTTCTTTTATTTATTCCAATATGTGGTCCGTCTCTAAAAGCTCATTAAAACAAAACACACCAAATAAATGTCACCTATTCTTATACACTCACCTTTAAACAACGGTGGATGAAAATAATAATCATACTTTTAAATTCATTTAGTTTATTAGGAATCAAATACGTGGTGACATGTCACATCGAGAACATGTTACGTGTACCATTTAAAAAAAAAAATT